TGTAAATCTCCACTTACAAATGCCTACACCACCCACTTCCATGTCAATATGATTCTGGGAATAGGAAAGTAAAGACAATTTCACAGTAGAGTGCCACAACATAGCAAGACCACCACTTCGCCCCACGCGAGTAATTGTAAAACAATTCTGAAAGCCAAGTCTCCGTCGAACACGTTCCATTCCTTTCTTATCTAACAGTATCTCACTAAGGAACACTACTATAGGCTTCTTCAACCTCACCAGCTCCATGAGGGTACAAACTGCTCAAGGGTTCCCAAGCCCTCGGCAATTCCAACAAAAAAAACTCATTGCAGCCGCCGAACCTGCTCTGCAGCACCCGCCGATAGAACAACTATAGCCCCATTGTCACCTTCGCCACGTCCTCGTTTCTCATTGCCTACTAGATCATTGTCTGTAGTCTAAAACAAGCCATCCTTCCTTTTAACTCTACTAATGGCCTGTGAAGATTGGGCCTTCGATAATTGCTTGTTACGAGCTTCCCGTTTCCATGCTTTCATATGAGGAGGATTATTGCTTTGGGGGGATGTAAATAAGAAAATAGAATTTGAGTTATGGGCCTGGGCCGCCTGGCCACCCAAACTAGCCTCATGTGTCACCTGGGCTTGTTTAGGGCCCACATTATGTGATTGCTCCACCTTACATAAGTCAGTAGGTCTCATCGGACCACTCTCCTGCCTGTGATCGTGCCCCTTTGACGCAAAAGGGGTTGATTCAGATTCATTATTTCCATGATCGACTACATTTTTTATTGGATGGTGGTGCCCTATTTTAATATGATTGATCTCTAGTTGCGAGATTATATCCCTGTATGTAGGATTCACATGATTCTCTAGAAAATCTCTGCAACAATCTCGGTCCATTAATCCTTCAATTACTTTCTCAATCATACGCCAATTTCGAGGACTACTCTCATCATGACATTTCTGACTTTCTAAATTGGGCATTCCTTCCATATACTGGCTAGGCCACCTCCGCCGTGCCGCAGTCTCGACTGGGTTACCGGAAGCATCACGGAGCCACCTCCCCACTTGTAACGCAGCGTCATGTTGGCCTCTTTTTGGAGCTGCGTGAAGATCCCTGCTGTACGGGTGCTCCATCACCCCTAAGCTCTCCAATTCTAGTCCCAGTTTGCAATCTCTTTCAACATGATCAAGCATTCCACAATAGTAGCAAAAATTTGGGAGTCGTTCATACCGAAAATCCACCCAGAAAGGCCCTTCATTCGCTGTCATCGTCATTCCTCTACGCAGCGGCTTTCTTGAGTCAATAAAGACTCGAATACGGATATATTCCACTCCCCACCCAATGCCATCCCCCTTGTCCACTTCTACTAGCCTCCCCAATAAGAATTTTGAAACTGTGTCCATGTATTAAGAGTGAAGAAAATAAATTTTTTCTCCTCACGGTGGGAGTGTTTTCTTTTCTCCTCAAGGTGGGAGGCAACAAATCTTATAGCACGTTTATGCAAAAAAGAGGCTAAGACGATGACGGATCCGAGTGTACGAGACTTGACAGCAGCGCTGGGGAAACGCCTATATTTAACAGTGGAGGAGGATGTGTGTTTAGATCTAGACGACGGTGATGAGGCGCAACAGAGTGGTGGCGGCGCACGGTGGTGCCTTGTTGGCACAATGTTAACCCGGAAAAAGTATAACCTTGAAGCTATGGAGAACACGCTAGCAGGCATCTGGAGACCTATTAAGGGCATGCACATGAGGATTCTTGGAAACAACTTTTTTGCCTTCTATTTTTTTCATCCGGTGGACATGCAGCGGGTATTAGCAGTTGGCCCTTGGTGTTTCGCAGACCATGTCATGGTTCTACAAGAATCAGCCAGGGGTAGACCAGTGAAGAAAGTAAACTTATTTGAGGTTCCTTTTTGGATCCAAATTCATGGGTTACCACCTGATTGTTTGACGGTTGCTACGGGCAGGAGGATTGGAGGGGCATTAGGGAATATTAATTTTTTTTATTAATTTGTTAACAATTAAAATAATTGGATAAGAACACTATATATTAACCAAACTAATAAATCTTGCCATGCGTGAATCTAACTTTTTAAAAAATTACAATTAAAATTAAATTTTTGATATTTTCTTTATTTTTTTAAATTTTAATATTAATTAATTATTTAGTCAAAAAATTATTAAATTAATATTAACTCTAATAATTTAATAAATAATAAGTATTTATATATTTTATTTTATTTTATATTTAAAATTAAAATTAAAAGTATAATATATTAATCAAAAGTTTAAATTTAAAAAATGTAATTAATTTTAGTTGACTTTGGATTTGAATTGATTCTATTACTTTCCCAATCCTTAAATCCAAGTAATTTTGGAACAATCTATTTTGACCAGTGGCATGGATCTTAAGTTAAAACTGTTTATCTCTTATTGGTAACATGTTCAAGCTCCATAGATCTCATTTCTCCTTCCCCCACTTAATTAATATATGTTACTAATTTCAATATAATAAAAACAAATCCAAATATTTTTGGTTTAAATCATATTAAATTCTATGTCAATACCTTAAACCCATGACCCAGGTGTGTTAGTCATATCCTCTGATAAGGTCCAATTTTGTAAGATAGAGCCAAACAAATTTACATTTGGTTTGGTGATGCTATGTTGCGTTGTCTTATCCTGTAAAGGTTTTTTTTTTTTTTTTTGGTTAAATACAAATTTGGTCTCTCAACTTTTAAATTTTATTAAAATTATCCCTCAACTTTAAAAATATCAAAATTAACCCTAAACTTGAATTTGTAGTATTAAAAAGTCCTTTTGTTAACAAAAGTGCTGCACAACTCATTGTTTTGCTATAAAATTAATTCTTTTTAAAAATGATAATAACACATAAAATCAAATACTTATATTTTACCATCGTAATATATTTCTATTTACACATTAAATTAATATATAATTAATGTTGAAAGACCAAATTAGTGTTTGTAATTAAAGTTTAAGGACTAAATTCGCACTTGTCTTCAAAACTTATGGACTATGTTGGTACAATCTTCAAAGTTTGATGATTATTTTGGTTCCAAAAATTAAAGCTTAAGAATAATTTTTGTACTTTTTGAAGTTAAGGGATAATTTTAATATAAATTTGAAGGTTAAGGGACCATGTTAGTATTTTAACCTTTTTTATTTTTTATTATCTAAAAATTTATAAAATATTAATTAAAATTAATATAAATATTAAAAAATTAATTAAAAACTATAAATTTACATGCTGTGTGAAATAGGTACCCTGCAAACAAAAACACAAGTTTGAAAAAAAAATATAATTAAAACCTTATTTTGATACATCTACTTTAAATAAAAACTCTTTTTTAGTGCATCTACTTAAGAAAATCTCTTTTTAGTTCCCAAAGTTTATCATCAGGTCCATTTTTAGTCTGTCCATTATTTTTTGCATATTTTACATGTAAGATAACGAAAATTCCAAAGTAAAGAGACTAAAAAGCCCTTTTTTGATCCCTACACTTAAAAAAGTCTTTTTTTATTCTCTTTGCTTTGGTATTTCCATTGTTTAACATGTCTTTTTTGTACAGAGATAATAGAGCGACTAAAAAGGAACCAAATAATAAACTTTAGGATATTTTCAGAAGAGTGAAACTGGTTCCATTCCAATCCATTATGTGATGCATATATATGATATATTACATTATTGTATCCAGGATGTCTCGCTAAATAATTTTGGTGTATAGAGATAATGATTAAGCAGTAATTTAAGTTGGTATAGAATTGACACAGCACAGCAACTAGTTATTAATCAACAATATTACATTTACTAAGTTAATATTAAATTACTAAACTTTGGGTCTAGATAAGGATTCAAAATGATTGGTGGAAGTGTTTTCTTGTAGCGCTTTGGTCAAGAGCACTTTTTGGTCATAAATATATATAAAAAATATATAAATTAATATTAATTTTAATATTTGTATCAAGCGGATAAATTAATTGAAGAGTTAATAGATTATATGTTAGTTTTTATTTTTTTTAATATAAATTTATAACAAAGAAGTACATATTTATCACACTCTTAGGGCATAACTTAGAAATTTTTTTTTTTGTAAATCAAGTCTTTAAAGTAACAATAAAGAAAATTTAATTTTTTTTAATGCATTAGGCATTAGGCTAATATAGGTGTCTTAAAATTGTTATGAAGAGAATTAATCTTCAAGTGCACACCTTAACCATCTAAAACAAAAAAAAAAAATCTAGTAAAGGACGTATCAGAGAGCTAAAAATTGGCCTAAGGTATTTTAATTGGTAAAAACTTTAGATTTCAAATTATATTTTCAAATTTAAATGTTTAAAAAGGTGAATTTGAAAATAGAAAAAGATATCTTTTTTTTACATAACTTATAATTAGATATATAAAAAAATTAAGAGCTAGAAATTGATCAGTATCTTAACCATGGTTGTATATGTCTATTCTCATCTCCCCTAGTAGACAATGCAGAAAAATTCTTTTTTGACCCATAATTAATCAAATACCAAATCTCTCCTGATACATATTAAGAAGAAATTCGAACTCAAGTACCTGATACATACCTTCTGACGTTGAGAAACGATTGCCCTCTATAGTTCTTTACACATACCATATTTGTTCCATATATGACACACTTCAAGCACTTAGTATTTAAACATCATCACCCTTAATGCTAACGGTTGCATACGTCTCTAAAGGCCTCAACATTCAAAACCATCAAAACCTCATATTATTAATTTATATATCACCAAAATTGAGTCAAAACTTGAGCACCGGAAAAGGTTGCATTTCATCAGGTGACTACCACAGCAGCAGCTGCGGACAAGTGCAAACAAGATCCGTGGGCTTGCGATGGGAACATGATTGAAAATTTGTCCTCTGAAGAATCGTCCACGGATGGTCTTTCCAAACAGCTTGACCATTTCATCTGCATGAAGCTTCTCTTCCTCCATGGACCCCTGTGGAGCTTCTTCTCCTTCATGGATTGCTTTGCTGCCTCACATAGTACTCGAACAATGGCATTTAGGCAGTCGGCTTTCCCCACGTAGTACTCCGGTAATTGGTTCACCAGTTTCCGGTAGTCATCGCAGGCTTTTGCAATCTCAAATTGGTCTCGGAATTCCAGTTCAATTAGGAGTGGTATTTGCTTCTTTCGCCCTTGTGTACATGCAATGACTTGGATATACTCATGCATTCCTGAGAATTAGCACGTCAAGAACGTCAATAAGGTTTGGCCCAAAAATCGAAGAACGGATTGAGATTCTATAAGGTTTCAAATTCAAGATGAAAGGCTATACCTCCGGGAATCTTTTTAGTGTGTTTCCACTTAGAGACACAGAGTTTGGCATTGTATCCCTTCTGGCAAAGCAGGTTGACAACGGTTTTCCTCAAGCAGTTGATGCAGCCATCAGATCTTGGCTCTCTGCAGCAGCAAAAATCTGTATCCTTCGCTTGCTCGATTATTCTGTCAATCCCTTGCCGCAACTTTACGTTCGTTACAGTATAACGCTCCAGAATTTCCTGTAAAATACACAGAACCACTTTAATTAATTATTTAAATTGACTCTTTTTGCCATATATCAAAATCTGGAGATGTCCAATTTAGTACAATTTTATACATTTTTATAGAGAGTACACAGCACCAATGTTGACTAGAACACGATAAAAAACTTAAGAAAAACATGGAGAAAACTAATTATCTACTACGGTCGAACCTGGTTATAAGGCCTCATTCTTTGCTACGGGAGCCAGTGTTAAACTTAAATAAAGTTTTTATAATCATTTTATACAATTTCACGATAAAGAACTTGTACGTAACTGTGAATCTGTGTTTGGATCTTTTCAAGCGTATATTTGTATGCAGCCAATTATTTAAATTAATTATCAGCTCCGCTTCAAAATCGCTGTAGGTATTTGTTTCCTTTTCTGAAAATTAAATTTATATTGAAGTTAAATGGAAATTCGTAAGAATATGAGGAACAAAAAGACTTCGCTATATAATTTTGCCTTTTTTAACCAAAATCAGCCTTATATTCAGCCAACCACGTGGTTTTATCTCAAACACTTGTTCTGCTACACATAAATAACAATAAATGCCCATGCTACATTTCAGCGCAAAATCTAATTCAATTTTTTAAATTTTCTAAGAAGGAAGGAATTTAAGTCAAAAAAAATTGAAAACATTTATTCTGGCGATTAGAATTTTAGCTTCCAGACAAACCTATCAAATTTCTGAGAAATCCATGGAAGCTTCTCTCAATTGTCCACTAGAACCGATTTTTTCTTCAGAGTTATAATAAATCCAAGAAAAATATACACATAAATATCTCACATACTAACATTATGGTCGGATTCACTTCAACTAAATATTTTTTTAAAATCTCGTATTCATAATTATCAAAAAAAAAAAAAAAAAAGGAATAGAATTCAATTCATAAATTTCGGTTTTGAATTTTTTGAATTGAAGAATTAATCCAAAAATAGTAGAAAATGAAAACTGATTAATACCTGAAGCAAGGCCTCGTTTGATTCCCAAAATACGGTACGTTCTGTTGTTTCACGGGAATCATTTTCGTTTTCATCGGCAAAATCACAGAGCTCGTCGGAAGCTGAGTTATTGTAGTAAGAGCGATCAGAGATGTCGGAGACATGGTCGGAAAACACGCAAACTTTCTCATCAAGTTCAAGTATGTCCATGTCGCGGCCGGAATTTTCAAGAGCCTTTCCTTCAACTAGCTTATCCATCTTCTTGGGAAAGAAGACAGGGAACCGGTGGAGGAAGGCGCTGCTAAGGAGGACGGGGAGGAAAAGGCTCCTGCGCAGAAATGGGGTTGGGGTGGAAATTAATACAGATAGAGGAGAGAGATTGCCACGTCGCCAATACGTGAATACCGTAAATAATGTTTTAAAACTGAATTTATAACCATTTAAATAATTAATAGTAATTTTTTAAAAAAATATTGAATTCATTTAAATAATTAATAGTAATTTAAAAAAAATAAAAAATATTATTTTTTTACTTAAAAAATATAATTAATAAATTAATATCTATTTAAATACTAATTAGAGAGCTAACCTAATTATCATATATTATGCTTGATTTACTTCTTACATAAAAAAAAAACGTGATTACTTTAAGTGACATGAAAAAATACAAAAAAATTATTAAATTGAAATTTACACGACATGTAATAAAAAATAGATTATTATCGCACCAAATTCGTTAATGCCACTTTTTTTTTTTATAGAATATTTTACCTTTTATAATTTATGGTTTCTTAAAATCGTTGTTTTATTTCGAAATCTCTCAAAAAAAACTTTTGAAAAAATCGAAACTGAGTGGAGTCCACACCATCGGGGCATCTCCCCAGAGTCAGAGATTAGCTTTGTTTCTTCCTCACCTTTTTTTGGGGCTGTCTTGTTTCTTCCTCTCTTGACCTCCATCTTCTTCGCTCTTTGCCTCTACTGCACGTATCATTTTGCCTTTTCCCTTTCCTTATGGTCAATTGCTTTTATTTTGCCCTGGAAATTGGCTCTTTTTCTTTTTCTTTTATTTGATGTCGTTGGCCCCTGATTTGGTTATATTTCCTCTCAATTTCAGCAATGTCTTCTTAGATCTGGTTTTTCTAATAATCATTTGCTTCTATTTCATCAAGTCTTACCACATCTGCCATCTTCTTCATCAAAACCCAGCCTCATCGCGTCTCACCACTTCAATTTGCTGATTTTGTGTTTTGAAGCAAGGGATGATGAAGAAAAAGAAAAAGAAAAAATTATTTTCAGTTCCTCTTCTTAGATCCCGTATGACAGCAAATCTTTTTCAACAATTGAAAATAAAATCTTTAATTCAATGTTGGATGACATAAAAGAAATCTTTGAAACTAAATATCGAATTAGAGGAAATGAATGAGATTCTATATAAATATTTGACTGAAGAAATGGAGAACAAAATCTGAAGTTTGCCCCTTGAGGAACTACAATTGAGTATCTGGGAAGAGGAAGATTGATCAACTCAATTTATTTTTGTTTATTTCAGCTGGTTCTCTTATTTGTTATTTGGTAATGATTTTAATTTGTTCTAATTAGTATAAATTTAAAAATTTGTTTAATCTATATCCTTATATGTTGTATGTTTAGATATGGGTCGTATTTTTATATATAAATTAAAGGTATATTAAATATATTTTTTATTATA